CCTTTTCAAATATATTCGAATATAATATATTCTTTATTTCTACAACCAAGTACGTAGAAAAAGCAAACTCATAAGAAAAAAAAAAACTTTTTAACATCAATACGGAACATTTGTAGTACGTTTATTGTACAAATGACAATATTAATATAGATGGCAATAAATATTTAACGTAAAAAAAATTTGTGGCACTGAACAACGTGACGGATGCAAATATATATACTGCTACAGTTTATGGTCATTTCGAATAGTTATTTCTTTTTTACGTGTCTAGCTCATGAGGAAATAAAAGATATTTTCCATTTATTGTTAAAAAATATATATATATATCCTTCTCAAATATTTGAATTCTCTGATGAGAAGACATGAGATTAAATCCTTCTATGTTTTCAAAAGATGGAATGATAGAAATGTTCATGAATATTACGATGGATTTTCCATTGAAAATAACGCATGAAATTCAACTTGTTTTCGACCTGCATAGTGATCACTTTTATGGGAACCTTCAGGCCAGAATCGTTGAGGATATGGATCACCCATCCCAGGAATCGTAGAAACATACAGTCTGATTTGCTCATCTTCACACTACTTTCCGTCGTTACCGTGGGTTTGGTAACAGTTTGCCTCCTAGGTGAGTCGAGATCATAATGAAATTACGCACACACGTAAAAATTACGGCAGTTTCATTCTCCGAAGTCAATGACAATCATTCTGGTGCGCGTTAAAACGTAGGTATGCAATACTTCGTTATCGAGGGAAACAAGATCGGAGTTTCCAAACTGTGGACGAGAGGAGCCATATGGTTTTTCCTCACCATCGTCGTGCTGGGTTACATCACAACGGTCTATTTACTCGGAAAAGTAACGATCCTTTTAATTGAAAGTGAGGCTAAGTAATTCCAAACTACAGCTTCGCAATTTCCCGTTTTCAACGTGCCTCTTTCTCTCCTGCGTCGATTCATTACATAACAGCGATCATGATCCATTTCTCTTTCTACTTTCCACAAAAAAAGAAAGCTTCAAACTATTTCTCAAAATTTTATAATTTCTCTAGATCTGCTCTGATTACTCGCGACATCTCACACTCTCGTTACGAGCACGAAACGTCCCTTTAACACTAAATCTATCAGTCAATTGGTACACTTGAAGAGAATTTTCAAACTCTTGAAACATCGTTATTTATCTTTACATAAAGTATTTCTGTCAAAATGTGTATACAACGAGTATTCTATTCTATCGCGAAATCTACTGAAATTTGTGAAAATTGTTTCATTTATTATTTCATTCAGTCAGTCAAACTGACTATCATCTACAAGTTCAAGTATTCAAAATATTCTTTTCCTCTTTGGACATTTTGGAGTATACACGAAGTGTCGGTAAGATTCAGTGTTAAATATACGTCCCGGCTTTAATCTCATTTCGCTTCTGCCTATAACGACAGGCCCCCGACAAAAGACTGACTATATAATATCAAACAGCCAACAGCGTCGCAGTGAAACGTGTTTAACTCTCGTTTGTCGCGTTCTCGCAATTAACTGGCTGCGCGAAGATTAGCTTTGCAGAAGCAGCAAAGCAGTAAACCTGACGATAAATTCCCCATTTATTTCGCGAGGCGGTGCACGGCCGCGGCTTTTTCGAGTACCAGAGAAAAACCTCGTGCACGGTTTGAAACTTTCTTGGACAAAGTCACCAGCGGGTGTACCATTTTATTTCTCATTGTCAGTCCGCGTCGCTGTTTACGGTCATAGAGAGCAACGTTAACCAAGCAAACACAAGCTCCTAACAATGGTTCTTTAAATGGGCCCGGTGTAATCTCGAAAACTTGCGAGATTGCTCTCTCTCTCTCTCTCTCTCCCTTTCTCTCTCTTAGCCACCGTACTGGACTTTTCTAGGCATATTCTCGCCGCGAGTAATCTCTTTAATGGCGCGCCGTGTCTCGCTTCTTCCTTCCCGCAGCTATAAATCCATCCACGAGCACGGTCAGAACTCGGCAAACTCGAGACTTTGCCACCTTTGTTCTTATCGAGGCCTGACGCGTCTCCCGTTTAAATACGCGAATGCTTTGAGAAGTAGTAGGAACTTGCCCCGTTTTACACGAAATAACGGTCGGCCCGCGAAAGTGTGCAGTGGCTGCAGAAAGTACTGTGACGTATCGCGATATTTACATCCAAGTGTACCGCACTTGATCAATTATATCGCCGCTCGAAAATCTTGAGACACTTTTCAGCGTTTTGTTCAGTGTTTCAGCCGCAAGATCACTAACTGTACGAAAAAAAGGAATAACAAGTGAAGAAATTGATAACAATATACTTTGTACACATTCCTATACTTCTCTAAAATTCAAACCGAAAGTTTAAC